TGCTGATGTTGCCTTGCTGGCTTCTTGCAGTGCCCTGCCTGTATCTGTCAGTTGTCTTTTGGCTCGTCTGGGCTGTTTGTGCTTTGGGTAAGGACTGTCCCAGCTTGCATGCTACCATATGCAGTTGGACTTTGCTTTCCAGTGCTGAAAGGGTAACACTATTACTGAGGTAGTAAACTGCTCTGAAAATCAAAATCTAAGGGGATATTTGTTTTTCACAATTTATGGCATTCTCTACCTTTGGACCCACCAATTTCACATCTTTTTCTGTTCTCACACACAACAATACTTATGTTCTTATACTTTTCTAAACATGACTTTATACCAGTCAGCACTTGTGAGTGTTCAGCAGAGGGCTTCTGCTCTTCACCACACGGCAGGCTGAACAAGGAGCGGTCTTCCCAGCGCCTGTGGCTCTACAGCTAGCCCAAACATGCAGTTCTGCAGTCAGCTGGACCAGCTCCAGCAGAGCTGTGGTGTTCCATTTGTGTAATTAATACAGCTCCTAAAAAGATGACTGCATATCTAAATGGTAGACTGTTAATGGCTCCAGGGAGCTCTCACGGCTCATCCTTATAAGCAACTCTTATAAATATATTATTATAAATAAATGCATGGTGAAGCCCTTCTTGTCACCGCAGGGTGACCTTCTCATAAAAGGCTCTTCTCTGCCCCACTTGTGATCTCACTTTCTGTCAAATTCTGTTCATGTGTTAGTCTAACCATATAAAACAAGGAAGTTAAATGCTTTCTGGCACAGACACGTTTAGTGCAGTGTCACCTTCCAGCAGCATCTGCTTCTGCAAATAGCAGTGATCGATTTTTGTCTTCAGCTACCTGTTATCAAAATCTTAAGGCTATAGCACTATGATTCTTGTGTTGAATTAATAGCAGATCATCTTTGGAAAGATGACACTGTTGTTAAGTGCCGAGATTAACGAAAAGAAATCCAGTTGTGCTGGGATGATAATTATTTGGTGTAATATCTTTCTGTCTCCGGGAGCATTTCTGTTGGTCTTGTTGCATACGCACCCCTACTGAGATCACAGCAGCAACTAAAATTTCAGACATTTTAGATCTGCATTCTGGACACTTTTAATTTTATATTATCTTTTCCCCCCATTCTTTGTCAGTTAGCAATCTCTATTTTAATCAGTCCAAAAAACAACAAAAAAACCCCAAACAAAAAACCCCAAAACAACACTAAATAAAGATGCAGTGTTACATGATGACGCATAGAAATGTACTTAAATTGGTGACTACACGTTGCATGCATTTGAAGGGCCTGAGGTGACTGCAAGGTTAGAGGCGTCTGATAGCGGGTGTGAAGAGCATGAGTCGCTGAAGAGCTTGGCTTGGCAGGGACCTCAGGAGGTCATCAGTCTGGTTCCCTGTGTGATGGCTGGGACCGAGGGCAATGTCAGATCCAGTTGCTCAGAGCCTTGCACATTCGCGCCAGCCCTGCTCCATGGCACAACCATCCCTGTTGTGAAAACTTTCTTCCTTATATTCAGCCCAGTTGCCCTTGCTGCAGTTCAGACTGTTCCTCTCATCTTTTCACTGGGGAGAGCGGGGCTCTGATGGCCTGTTGGGGTGGGAGACTGCAGCTAGTTTTGGTCACTTGTACTGGTGGGACTGAAAATCCAGTTGTACTCTTCAGGATTATAAACTACCACCACCACTTCATGTGCTTCCTTGTCTGTTTCATTTCTGTGTGAAAACAGAAGTTTTATTAAATAAAGTTTGGGTTTGGATATGCCTTTCAATAATTCAGTGATGCTACAATAGGTTGTTGTTCAGTAGATGTAACTAGTTGTTTACAAATATTGTAGTTCTTGGTAAAATACAAGATGTGGGAAAATGAGCATGGTTTTTTTAAGTTACACTCTGAATTAAGGTCTGGTGTGAGTGAACAGTCTCTTTTAAAAAAAAAACCACCAAACAAAAAACCGTCAGAACTGAATAAGCCAATGTCACTGGAGTGAAATGCTTGCTTTCAAAGTCTCCTGTGCTGCAAACAAGCTTGATTTAGATTTTCTTTTTTTTTTTTTTTTTTTTTTTTTTTCCCCTAGGAAGCCTGAATTACTGAGACCTAGGCTGGCTGTCAGTAAGCTGTGTATAGATTAGCCTAGGTAGTTATGAATCCCTTTATTTCTACAAAATCTTGGTGTTAAACATTGCCACGATTGGCCATAACAACTTACATCCTGCTTCAGACAGGCTGGACTGCAGCAGAATACAAGGGGTGTATTTACTTCATTCTAAATAAATGTTTTATCACTTAGCAGTAATTGGATTGCTATTGTATTTCAGTAATTATTCCCAACAGCAAATCCGTTCTCCACTTTGCAAACGTGTTCCCTGACTGACCTTCACACAGCCTGTCTGAAGGTGTCTTTCTTGATCTAATTCTGTATGATGAGGTTTTTTTTTAAAAAAAAGGGGAACTACTGCCAGGGGTAGAATAATTTGTCTTTGTTCCAGTTGTCATGGTGCAAAAGTATAAGCACTTCAGTTCATGCTTGAGCTTTTAGCTGACCCTGAAGAGGCAGTATGATGCAGTGCTTTTTCAAAATGCATCGTAACATTTCAGGCTGTGTAGAATCACACTTCTCTCGGTATCACAACCCAAATACCCTGCCAAGATTTCTCATACTTTGTGGAAATTTGCTCTGTATTTAACATGTCTATAGACAAATAACTTCCTAAAGTATCTCATAGCTGACCAAGGAATTCATACACTTGTCTGAGGATCAGACAGAGTCTGCCAGGGAAGTTCTGGATCACTGGATGGCAATTTTATGTGCAAGAATAATATTCAGTGATTAAATCTCAATGGGTTTCCAGAGTAGCTAATATTTTTTCAAGAGAAAAGCACTGCTGAACGTCCTTAGTGAGGACTGTCTTGTGATACAGCCTGCATTCTGTACAAAACTCTTGTAGGAGAGTCTCTGTGTTACACAGACCCCACAAACCCCTCAAAGGATGGCTCCATCCCGTGTGCTTATCTGAAGCTCTAAACTTTTTGGTTGATTGCCTGCCTGACACATCGTATTTATTTCAAATTTGTGGCATTCGACAGTGAACTTAATTCCACAGTCCAGAATTAGGCTATTCTGATGCCATTTTCTGTTAACTCTAGTCCTAATGCTGCTTTCTGAAAATTATGGTTTCTGCATTGCCTAAAACATATGTTTCAAGTATGATTAACCTACTCCAGTGTCTAGAGAACCATATTTTATCAGAACAAAACCATTTTACTAGGTATTATTACAGTGCTTACTTCTATTATGCTCACAGGTTTTTATGAAGTATTTTATTATAAAGAACAACACAATGGCATTAAGCTGCAAGTAGACCTATAGCTGTGTTTTAGCTGTCATGGTCTTGTGCAGCCCTGTTAAAGCATGTTTTCTGTGCAAGCCTGCCTCTTCATTTAGATTGAGACTCTTTACAAGATACTAGCTGCACTGTAACTCACAGGACGGGCCAGCTTTAAGTGTGAGTAGTCTGGGCAGCATCTGATGCTGTACAGGTTGCATTAGTAAAGAAATCTTCCTTTGGAGATAGTGAAGGTCTTTCGGTCTTGACTTGCTGTGAAATTAAATTTTGTGTTCTCTTCCTGTAATGGCATTTATGCGGTCTCTGCTAGGAATCAGTATTTTTATCCTGTCACTTTTCATCACTTCCTTCCCTATTGCGCTGTCATCACCCTACAGCTGAAGCTGCCTCTGTTCATGGAGCTCACCTCCACTCTCTCTGCAAACAGCACTGGGCACCTGCTTTGATCTCGGAACTTGTGACCTTGAGTTTCTTCCTTCATGATGGAAACCTGTTTGCTGAATGGGTTGCTAGATTTATTTGTATGTAATGGTACTTAAATCACATGAGCAGGGATTCGGATGGTGTGAAGGCTGAAGGAAGACGGGATACATTAGTGTTCATATCCCTAATCCGACCAACTACCCAACATACCTAGGCACCCTATGAGAATATAGTTTTACTAGCTCGTTGCTCTTAAGGGATCAGCAGTGTTCTTCCTTTTCTTTTAACTTCTGCTTGTTCTAAAGAATAATTTAGACAAATAAGAATAATGTAAATCTAGTTGTGCTAAAGCTTTGTGCTCTTGGCTATATCCTTTCTTCTCCTATCAGTATGGATGAATTCTTTGTTATTGAGAATGGTGGTTGGGAGTCTTATGAGACCTGCTCTTCAAAAATCAAAGTATTTGTATTTAGGAGGTTTTATTGACTCCTCTGTCTCTCTTTGTAGCCTTGCCTATTTCTTATTACAAGTTTCTTAAATGCAGTCTAGAATTGAATGGTTAATCTATATATCTGGTTTATTCGAGTAATCCACGGAGAAAGTGTGTTCAGAGGAATTAACTTACAAAAAGAAAACTAGGGTAGTAAACTTACTAAATGACTGTTTATAAAAAGAAAAAAAGCAGCTTTGCAAGCTCATTAATCCTTTCTACCCAAGAAATGTAGAATTTGACTACTTCTACCCAAGGCAACTTCTGTGATATTTGTATGGTAGATGTGGTCTTTGAAAGCCTCGCTTTTGTACTATTCCATTTTTAAATATAAAGATGAGTTTCTGCTTGTAAAACAATGCTGTTTAGGTTTGGAACCTTGTGTATTTTGCAGTGCATGCAACCTGGCTGGGATGGAAAAAAACCCACCTCTCTAGCTGGTAATAGTTTAGTTCTAGAATTCAGTGCATGAAGCTTGGTTAATGGATGGATTACAGGTGTAGAGGCCAAGGCCTCTAGCATTGTAATCACTTATGTGGTGGGCTTTAAGCTTCTGTTCTCCAGTTTTCTCGCTGTACAGTCAGTTTTGTATTTGAAAAGCTGCCGAAAAAATAGTACTTTAGCAGTACTACGTGATTTAGTGTGTACTAAAAAAATAAAATCATTTTTGGGCATGATGTAAGGCAGTATAACCAAAAATATATTTTTCAAAACAACTGGGTTTTCTTATTTTTAATATTTCCAGGGAGGGATGAAACAATGCAGCCAGCCAAACCATCATTCCTTGAATATTTTGAGCAGAAGGAGAAGGAGAATCAAATCAATAGCTTTGGGAAGAATGTGTCTGGCCAGACAAAAAATTCATCTGACTGGAAAGTACCACAGGATGGAGACTACGAATTTGTAAGTCTATACTTCGAAATTCAATCAATGTGACAATCTTTAAGACTTTTAGTCAGAGCTGCTATAAGATTATTTCTTGTTTTGATAGGCTAATAGAAACTTGAAGAGATTCTAATTGCTAATGCATTTGGATGGGGCATTTTGAAAAACTCATTTTCTTTAGGTATTTCTCAGTAATCATAACCAGTCGTTATCTGTATACTTTCATTGTTTAAGAACAAACAAATGAACAAAAAAGCCTGAGGACATGAAGGTACAAGCTATCTTGCTTTACTTCCTCATTATGCATTTAAAATTAAAAAATAGAATTCCAGATGGCAGTTGGAAAATTAAAATCCTGAATGTATAGTGTTACAACCACTGAATTTCCTTGTTTTTCTCAAGTTTTGGCACTGGGTTTTATCTTATTATGTAAACATTGAGCTTGTCTTAATTTATCTTTCAAATCCTCAACTTCAGTCTGCCTAACTAAGGTTCATGTGCTCAGAATTTTCAGGAACTTTTCAGAAGCCCAAAGAAAGATCTATTAATAAATTTTATTATTTACTTATTTTTGTGAGGATGGAAAATTTCTGGTTTGAGTTCAAAATGCCAGAAGATGCATGCTCTGGTGAACACTGTTCCCTCCACTGCATTTTCTTCCAATGATACTTCACTGCAAGTACTTTTTACTTTAAGTGCATTGTGCACCCTTATGATGTCTGTTCGTGTTGCCCGTGGTTCAGGTTGTCACACTGCACTCAGTAGTTGGTGAGATTCACTCCACCTTCATAGAGCAGTGGAAAGCAAAATCCCTCTGCTAGTCACGACTCGAGGAGATGCTTTACTTTAACACTGGAATAACAGCTGGAGCCTTTCATTCTCTTTGTACAGATTGTATAGACTACTGCTGTTACATGTATTTTGTTGTCTTTACTGCTGTATCTCAAATTTTCCTATTTAGACTGAAAAGGATGGCTAGCTGAGGGGACCTGCTGCATTCTCTCTCGTAGCCTTTTGCACGACGTTACATTTAGCCTGAAGACTTGAAGTCACTGCATAAACATGTTTTGCAAAAATAACCTGCAAGCTGCCTTTGTATCACAGGGTCTGGGCCAAACACACAATATCCAGTCAGATACTCCATTTATCTTATTCACCTTATATGTTGTAACTTAATTTAATGATAATTCTTTTTCAATGTGTGGTATTTCCCAGGAAAGATGGGCTTGTTTGGAGTATCTTGGAAGTCTTTCATAGTCTGCAGAAGATGGCCCAAATTTGCTGTAATTATTTTACTTTCTAATTTGGTTGATAACAAGTTTAACAATTAACCTTATTTCCACTGGGTGGGATGTATTCCACCCTGCATACAGTGAGCTGTAGGTGCAGGCTACACCCAGTGAGGGGCACAGGCAGCGCAATGACACAAGGAAAGGTCAGTGCTATTCTAGCAAACAGGACCTACAAGTATTTTTAGAATGTGCAAAGCAACTGTTTGACATGCATGTGACCTTGTTTACTGATTTCCATTAGTACTGAAGTATTGCCATGTGCATAGGTTACCAGCGCACTGGAAGCAATAAAAGCAAGCAATAAAAGCTAGCAATAAATCGGGCTTTGGGTCACCTTCAGGTAGTAATTTGTGAACATTTCACTTCCCAGCTGTATGTATTTCTCTAGTTCAACTGTGTATGAATATACCAGCCTGTCTTGCATGCAAATTTTGTAACAGGGCTACTTTCTTTTCTGTAGGATAAGAAAAATGCTTGAAAGCAACCTTAGTAAATACATGTGGGTGTTTGTATAGTGCTTATCTGAGAGTTAGTAGCAGTAAGCTCAAGGTTGCGTGATGTATTCAAAGGCTTAAAGTGGGTATTTTTCCTGTTTGGCTAAAAATAGATCAATTTGGCTAGCTATGGGTGAAAGTCATGTTTATTAATGCTTTATTAATTGAAAGCATCAATGCAGTAAGTGTTGTGGAATAAGAAAACATACATTCACTAGTAGGCGTATCAAGTACATATGTCCTAGACTTGCCTGCAGCTCTAACTTATTTCTGCATTGTCAAAGTATGCAGGTTTGAGCTTTGTTGAGACTTTGTCTATAGACTTTGCAGGATTCCAAGTAAAGATGACATCAGTGAGATGCTGGGTTCTCTAGTTCTCCTGGGCCTTAAGAAATGATTGAAATATTATTGCTTTGTGCTACTGCAGACTAGATAAATATGCCTTGTCTTCTCTTTGTATTCTTCTCCTTCCTATGTGACTAGCACCTGGAGTCTCCTGTCTTCCAAAAAAACCAAAGGGCAATATTAAATTACAAAAGATTTTTGCTCTTTTTCCCGGTGGCAAAACCGTTTGACCTTTTCTTGACTAACAGGCAAGTAAGATACTATTTATATCACAATGGCAATGTCATGTTAGATAAGGGTTGGATCGAGTCAGCCCCATCCACTGCGGTGCTGAAAACCCAGAGATCCTGTTCTAAAAGGCGACGAACTCCATTCCTCCCAAATGTGATGCTCTGGCTATGTCCTGGTAGGGTTGGAGATGACATAAACCCAGTGTATTTCCAGCAGTGTATTTCCAGCCTTGGATTTCTGATGTAGAAGTTAGTATTAACTGATTAGTCAATGCCTGATGATGTTAATGTTTATCCCCACTCATGTTTGAACAAGGATCTCTAAAGATTTAAACCCCACTTGATTACAAAAAATGTTTTCAAGAACATCATGATTTATTTAGCATGGGGGAAAAAATACTAATTAAGGGCAAAAATTCTTGCTTTTAGGAAGAATATAACAAACTCTAGTATGAAAATGCTGGAGGGGTAGGCTGTTAATGGTCAGACTGCATTGTATGTGGAATTCCTAATTGCCATAATCAGAGCTCAAAATTTTTAGTTGAATTTAATTTTGCCAGTGAACATTAGTCACATACTGTTGCACAGACTTAAATTAATAATGCTATAAGATTTGTTTAGACAATGTCATACATTTTTTTCACTTTAATCTTCCAGTAGTACTGTAACATACGGCAAAATTAATTGTGTGGTGTTTCCTGCCCTTAGACACAACAAACCATTTGCTTATTCCTATTTTAAAAGTGTTTTAACTGCTCTGAGCAGGTCAGTATTCTAATATCACTTGTGGCTAAAGTGGGATCACTTTTCTTCTTATTCTGGCCCTGCTTGAAAGGCCTTCAGTCTTGCCAAACCTATTGTAGCACATATTTGTGGATCATCCAGTCATTAATGTTGTGTATTATATCACTAATCATTTTATTGAAAGCCTATTTTGTTAGCAGATTAGCAGGTTCCAGCCATTCATGGCTTATGGTAGCTATGACAACACTGAAACCTTTTCAGTTTTATTTCATGAGTGCGGTTTCACTGGTGAAAATGAGTGGCAGTAGAGCCCCTGCCAATCTTGAATTTTGCCATCATGATGCAACTGCTGTTTTTTTAATACCTGTAATGTTGAGCTGGTTTTGCTGTAACTCTAATTCATAATTTTTCATGTATCAATGAATCTATGCTAATTAAGTATCCCAGGGGCTTGTTTCGGATGTGGAGTCAAATGGGACCTGAACTTTTAACAGACACTAGAGCAAGAGTACAGTAGGACATCAAGTCTTTGTACAGGCTTTACAGAAGGAGTTGAAGCCGTTTGCTCCAAGGCTTTTTTGATTCCAGCACCTCTGTATCTGCCAACCATTCCTGGCCTGTGTAAAGCAGCCTGTCAAAATCCTAGTTGGTACAGACACTTGCACATTGTCTTTAACTGCTCTTGCTATCTGTGCTTCACTGGAAGAACACCAGGGTGATAGCTGAGCTTTTGAAGGAAAGCATTGCTATTCACCTGCAGGACCTCAGTGGAGAACTGCAATCATCAGCAGTTGTTTTCTGTGCTGGCAATCTCCATCCTGCTGCTGCAGCTCTGGGAAGGAAGCTGACATTCAGAAACAAGGTTTATGTCTCTTTCCTAAGAAGTATCCTGCTTCCTTTGGGAAGACCTTGATTTGCTTGCATCTGTTAAGTCTTGGTTCCTACAATTATCAACAGCCAGTAGTTTGGGTCTTTCCTTCTCACTCCTTGGCTTAATGAAGAGGGTCTGCCTTCACAGGTTCTCTCATTGAAGCAGAAAAACTTTGGAGCAGAACTTTTTTCCTTACAAAAATAAAATTAACATATATACTTGAGAGCATCAAGATTTGCAGAAGTAGAAGGAGTAGACGTGGCAAATCTCTCAGCTTTCTGTGGAAGATGGCTGTTGTCATGGCCTTTGTTCACAGGTTCACTGTGTTTCAGTCTGCCATGAGCAAACCTGTGTTTCAGGTCTTGTGTTTCTGTGCTCACCTTTCTAGCTCCCTTTGAGAAGTGTCTCATTGGTGGCTGATGTGAATTTCTTGGACAGGAAAGACTGGTGTGATTTCCCCTAGTTGCAAAACAGACTTTATCACTTTTCAGTGCACGGTGTCATCTGTTTCTCTATTGCTGGGGAGGACTGTCCTGCAAGCAGTAGAACTGTTGCTTCTGAAATTTCTGCACAGCAAAAAAAGGAAGGATGAGCAGGAGGTGTTAATTGCCTCTAACTGGGGGGAAGAATGCAGGTGCTGATCAGCTGCCACTTTGTCAGGGCTGCACTGTCAGAGCCCTCATGTAGAAGCAACAATTCTTGTCTCCACCATCTGCTAGACAGAGATAGGCAGAGAAGGGACTTTGCCTGAGGTACAGGAGTTGGAGGAAGGGCTGTGTTTGATCCCACAGCTACATCTCTCTTTCCAGTAACCTATTGTCTAGTCTGTTGCTTCCCAAGTGCTCGGGCCACAGCTTGCTGTCGATATCTGACTTCTCCGTTGATTGTGCTTCTTAAAATTAGCTAATTTTGAAATGAGGCATCTTTGTTTCAAAGGTGTCTGTACACCGCTTACTGTGGTTTTGGTTTTGTTTAGAAGCTCTTGCTCCAGACAGCGTTCCTCTTCATTATGCTGTAGGAGTTGGATGGTTCACCAAGCCAG